GGGCGAGGCGAGTAAGTGAGTGAGTGAAAGCGAAAGCAAGGCAAGCAGGACAAGGTGGATCAAGAAGGAGGGAAAAAGAATGGGCCAAATCGAGAACTAGTATCATAATCCTATAGTCACTTACTCCACTATGGAGGGTTTTGACAAAGTCATTCTGTTTTTATGTGTGCATCTGTGCGTGGTTACATGTTCCCTTGTCTACATGTGGAGCATGTGGTCATTTACAGTAGCTCTGCTGCATATAAAACGGATGGACAAAGGATGCTTCCATTCTCCAGCTTGACCAGATCACACTCTTCAGAGACTAGGCCTGAGGGTTTATCTTGAGCTCTGCGGAGCGTCGTCTGTTCTAGGGCTAGTATATGCTAGAAAGGCGCGGATATTGCTGCCATGGGGCATTTCTCTGTTAGGATAAGCGATTTAACACACAATTGGCGGGGAGAAACTCTGCTCCCGAGCCCGCTGGGCAAGACGGGCCTCGAGTCAGGACGCACCAACAGACGGAGACGGCATTAGAGGCGTGCAGACTCGGAGGATGGGTTGTGCAAAGCGTAGGACAGGATGGCGAAGACGAGCCTCGACCACGAGGATGGGTTGCCGAGTCGTCTGGATCGGTCTGTCGGGCAGATGCGTATGTCCGCGACTCGGGCCGTGTCTCGAGGCGGCAGGACAGAGGTACAGGATAGGCGGGCAAGTGTGGGGAAAATGGCTACTGTCAGGCGGGCAGGAGGCTGTAAAAGCGGCGGGGGTGGGTGGGTCTAGAGTGTGAAGTCACTGGAGGCCGGCAGAAGACTATGATGCGACTCGTCCGTTCTGTCGGGCCAGGTCGGCAGGTCGTCGAGGGGGCCGCCGGAGTACTGGGAATAGGGCTTGTGCGTCTGGTGAAGAGGTGCCATGCGACTGCCGGCCTCAACGACGGTCGGCCGGTTGCTAGGCTGATGACTGCTTGTTGTCGAGCGTCGGCTGAGCCGATGCTGTCGCGAGGTTGTCAGTAGACCGGACTCTTGGCCGAGCCCGTGAGTGTGCGGCGTGTGGCTGAGACGACCGAGGCATGGACTGGACACTTCGCTGGCGAGGCTGAGAACTGAGGCCTCGCGAGTGAACGACCGACCCGAGCGGGAGGCCGCCTTGAGAGTGCCGTAGAAACCGCCACCGCCGCTGCCGAAGAGGCTGGTACCACGACCGTTGGGCAGAGTGGACGAGGCCGGCTCCCCGTCGCTGTTCAGGTGTAGACTAGAGCCACCGTAGCTGGGACCAATGCCGAGGCGACGCTCGGCCAGACTGGCGCGCAGCTCCGTCTCCTCCATCTGCGCCTGGGCTTTGCGGTACTTGTTGGTGACGCTTTGAGTAGCCGCCTCCTGCATGTGCAGTCGGGCCGGGGTGAGGGTAAACAAGTACGGCCAAATTAAGGAGGACCTCGAGACTGTCAACAGATAATGAATGCGGCATTTTGCCCAAAATCCTCCCCGCAAGAGTGGACTGCCGGTTACACCTCGTCCGAGTCCCACCGGCAATATCCACGGGACTCGAACCCAAATTGGTACCACTGGCAACATAGTCTTATAATGGGACTGCCGAAGAGACAAACATGTTTCTGGCGCTTCCAAGATGCATTCATCCTACTTCGACTAAGATGAAGAAGGACTAGTAGTTGACTTTTCCCACAATGATATTAGTAGATCTTACGTTTCCAGTCAACTTCACATAGCCATGCTTTCCCAAAAGGCATTCTCATCCAGGCAGGAGTGGACTTCAGATTCGATCCCGCCTGAAGTGGTCACATGAGCACTCTCAGCAGGACTCGAGCTATGACCATGCAGCATATAATCTCGCCACATGGCAGATGGGAATTTCAAGAAAGGCCAGCCATTTTCCCATATCACATTCTGTGGTGGGACAGTTGATAAGGCAAGGTTTTATTTGCTCTGACAATAGGTTTTCGATACTGCCGATAGCTCATAATTATGCGATATGTTCACTCTATTTAATTTACATTGATGAAGGACTGAAAGTTGATTCCTTCCACAATCATATGAATAGACCTTACGTCTCCATTGAATTTGCCACAGTCCTGTTACCAAAAAATGATTCTCATCCGAGCTTGACTGGAATGCAATTTCGACCTCATCGGGACTCGAATTCGCCACATCAAGCATTTTGCATATTATATTTAAGCCCGGGTTCGTATCTTTCTGCAGGTGCTGATGAGATCCAGGCGAGGTCGAAACTGCAGTCCAGTCCAGCCTGGAAGAGAATAACTTTTGGAAAGTAAGGTTACTTGAAATTCAATGGCAACCAGATGACAGGATTCGTAGGTCGAATTCCTCTTGGCTAGCCTCTATGTTTTGATTGGCGAAGCCCTCGGTGAAAATGTACCATTTGTGTGACTAATTAGAAGCATTGAATAATGAAAACACATAGGCACCAGCAAACATGCTGTATATTTACTCTAACCCTGCCTATTTCTGTGAGCTGCAGAGTTCTTTGGTCAGATAACTTCACATATCAGGCTTGTTTGTTTGCGTGTTTATGTACTCAAGTATTCTAGGCCAACACTATTAATTAGTTCAGTTAAACCATCCATTTATGCATGCGTGTGCTTGTGTGCCTCCATGCTTAGGAATTCGAGACTAACACAGATAGCTCCAAGTTACTAAAACAGAGCGTAATATTTAATAAGAGTTAATTACGCTTTTTCACTTTGTTTATTATCTTAATCCATCACTCCGTCAGAGTAATGACGGAGTCTTTTTGTATAAATTCGGATATAAAGCAATTGTCATATCAATCACCAAAAGGCGGTTTAGGACGGAGAGTAGAATGTTGCCATACTGTCAAAAGAAAGTCTCACGGCTTCAACAAATTTCACTTAGCCCTGCCAACTAAAAGGTTGTCTTCACTATGATAACCTGCAGTTTCGACCTCGCATAGGTTTCATTGCCATTCTAAACAGGATTCGAAACTGGGTTCCGGGCATCGTGACAACACGTTTCCACTCCGCTGCACAGCAACAAATATCCATTGATCATAGGGCAGATGTGACTTTCAAAGTAGGCCAGGCAAATCCAAAATGGTATTAACGTCGAGGCAAATTGGTATTTTTCATTGCAATTGCTGACGACTTTTTTTCTGTGTGACTAGATTTCTAAACCGTTAGTACTACTACTTAACCAACAATTTAGTCAGCCCAAGTCAATTAATGCGATTTAAGGACTGATAATGGAGAATTTCCCGCAATCAGATAAATGGACCTCCAGGCACTAGAGACAAGAAGAGATGGGAATGGCTCAAAAAAGGCGAATGCTTATGGCAAGCATACAAGAGCTGAGGCGAAAACCTACTTATTAAAGATACTTACGAAGAGTCTTGGTCTCACTTCCGTTTCGTGCGAAAGACTATGATAAAAAAGTATTCGTAGATCGAGCTTACAAGAGGGCGACAACGGATTCTTCATGGCCAGCTGGAGTGTTCTAGTTTACAGAGCCATCGAGGCAACATAATCAGAGCTGGTTACCATTCCTAGGATTAATTGTGGGTATTGAGTCGAAAAAACCGACTAGATTTGCCCTTCATGAAATGTATATTCTCTCACCTCATGCATTTTTGGCGTGCAGAGTGATTGGCTTATTTTGGGAATATTTTCCGGTTTGTGCTTATTTGTGTGTTACAGAACCAACAATGTTAGTTCCAATTGAGCAGAAAAACCGTAACATCTACCCTCATTCGCTAGGTTTTATTGAATTAAAAAAAATATTTTTAAACTTTTCTGTCCATCCCTTCTATTGTTTAATACGG